AATTCAAAAACATATTAGCATGTCCCATTTCATTTTTAAGTGCCAAAACTCACACAAACTCCTTAGATCATACTTAATAGACTACAAAAGACTCATGGAATACACCAAGACAATTTAATCACACATATCATTTTCACTGCTCAACCCATTTGTCACAAAAACATAAAAGGATCCAAATCACTATGATAATTATAATTCTTCTTTACAATGATCCATAATATGAATATCATACTTGTACTAGTATTTCAACCCTATCTATATATTAAGATTTAACATGCAAATACTCTAGGGCCTAAAATACACCATTTAATTTAAAACATCAAATAGTACAAGTAATCAAAATAATCCATTCCTAGTTGGCGAATTATCAATCAAAATACACATATTTAAATCTAAGAGAAGCCTACAATTAGAATTTAGTAGAACCATATGCCTCATATCATTTCTCCTAATCCTGATCCAATGAGCTAGCCCCTATAATATTGAAGAGAGGGATGAGTACAACTACTTAGTTCTAGCTTACAAATGCATGTCAATCAATTATAGTGATGCAATGACAAAATAAAACTTTTATAAGTTTAGATTCATTTCATATGTTATCCCAGACCACAAAACTAATAATTATGTAGTCAAGTATCTTTTCAAATATTGTTTCACATTTGCAATATATATCAAATCACACAAGGGAACATAATACTAACAATCATGTGTCCCTATCATAATTGTGCGGACCACCATACTGGCAACCATATGGTCATATAATTATATGTATGATCAATACTAACCCTATACCCTCCTGATATCTTCAATATAAAATTGATGGCTATTTAATGGGCTATGTCCATGAAACTAGATTACCTAAGCCTTCTATTTAAAAGGAGCTGCTCAACTAAGGCTACTACACTCATTTATGAAGCATAATTTCTCTCAATACTAATAACCATAGGGTGTTGTACCTCTAATCTAGCCTCTCCATGAATAGGTAAAGATTAGTTAGGTTCAAGTCTCTCAATGAATAAGTAGAATAGTCCCTTAAAAAACAGTAGGAGTGTGGCTACCTCTCGATTTCAATGATTAGTAGCTTGGCTAGTTTTAGATTCTAATGATAAGCAGCCAATACCATGTAAATTTTATCATTATTTTACTTCCTAAGCGAACTATTGCCATAAATGATCATGCTATGCACATAACATCAACACGTAGCATGCAATTTCATTAACATCAATCTCATCATATCATGCTCATCACTTTTACAAACACTATCATGCTCAACACATATCTTAATTCATAGTTTCCCTTTTACTATGATCATATAAATATAGATGCACATTATTTTCATCAATTCAAAACATATTCTTACGTACATCACATAAACTTGTCAAATTGCCACAATTTGCATAGGAAATAAGTTTATAATTATTACATGATTTTGAAACAAATCTATTTAACATATAATTAACTAAATAAGCAAATTTTTTCATCAATTCAAAACATATTCTTACACACATCACATAAACTAAATTTTTTTATATTACCTTAAACCTTTGGAAGTTAAAGGTTTATCTCTTAATAACCAATATTTTTAAAGCTCTTCTCAACCTTGAATGGTGCCAAAGAGTGATTAATCTACAATTAATCACATCAATCATCATTAACATCCTCATTAAGATAAACCCCAATAATCTGGCTCAACACTCTTGACTTACAAAAAACACAATCTCACACTCTCTAACATACACAGTAGGTTCAATAGTTACATTTAATTTACATCATCATCAATGAGCCATTAAATCATTATTAATGGGAATTCTAACTCCTCCAAATACCTTATTAATGACCCAAATTTGGCCATTAATGATCTCCACCCACTAAAAATTTATAAAATCATGGTTACTGGATTTAAATAATTTAAACACTGTCATTAACTCTATTTAAGTCAATAAGTTCGAACCCATAGCCATTATAGACTAATAATCATCATTTCAACACAAACCCTAACTCTACAACTAGAGAAAATGGAAGAGAAAAAGAGGGAAGGATCTTAGAAATGCTACCAAACTTTCAACTTCAGAAACCTAGTAGAGAAAATCCCTAACTCTTGATTTACTTTGTTTCTTTCTCCCATTTTTGAATTCTAATGCAGTCTTATGACTGTAAAAATTCAACTACACATTGTGGTACACACAGCATGTCCCCCGGCACATGACACGAAGAGGTTCAAACTTCATGAATTGTCACATATGTGCCATGGCAGAGGTAGTGTATGTCACGACATGTGGCACAAACCTATTATCCTCTGATTTTTACCCTTTTTGATGTTCATATGACCTGACTTTACTTCAAACCCAAATTTAAGTCTTAAACCACAATCCAAAATATACATTAGATCTCTTTAGTCACACACCACGTTAATTTACTAGATCACCCTAATTTATAATAAATCAAGGTTAACTTTTTGGAATGTTACAATAGAGATCTTAGGATACAGAAGTTATTCATTATTCAAAAATTTCATATTTAAATCTAATTCAATTTTTTTCAAATCATGGGTAGTCTTTTTTTCATATTTTAACAAGAATAAAAATGAGTCGACATGGAATTTTTGTATTAGGAATTTTGAATTTTATATAAGGTAATATGGAAGTTTGGATAACAAAATAATAAGAAAGAAAAGTTGACAAACAAATGAGGAAATTAATAAGGGTGTAAGATAATGAAAGTTACAATTATGATAATGGAGATAATTGGAGTGAGAATTAAGAAATAAAACAAGAGTATAAATTAAAATTAATTTTTTAAACCGATCATATATGGATTCACAAAATGACAGTATTTAAAAAACTAGGACATGTCCATAGACATAGGTTCGTTATTCTTTTATTATATATATATATATATATATTAACATAATCAAATAGATTTTCATTTTTTTGTATTTTAAAAATTGATTTATAAAATAGGTTTTGAAAACAAAAAATAAAACAAAACCAAACAAACTCATAATTTTTACTTTTGTAGTTTTGTTTTCTTCCATAGTTTTCTCTCCCTTTCAATTTCCTTGCGCAAAGCAAGTTTTTTTGAAGTCAGATATGTGCTTATTTTTATTTCTAAATGCTACATGTTCAGATATTTCTTTTTAATTTTGGGAGATGCATTGTTTATGTATATTTTAAAAACAAAACGTATGTGTATGTAATTTTAATATATAAAATTCAGCTGAGTCATTTTAAGAAATTTGGTGGATTCTCTCTATGTGTATGAAATACAAACCATACGATTTATTGATTGATTGTGAATAGAGCATTTGGATATGAATTTTATATTTTATGTAAATTATTATTGATTTTTTATAATTAATTTTAGCAAATTTAAGAAAAGTTTAATTCTATTTCAAAGCTTGAAATAAAAGTAAGGGGTATATAGTTTAAGTATTTAATGAAATTTTAAGAGAGATGTGAGTAATTTTTCAATTTTATTATTAGGTTACTTAACATGGAAAAAAAACAATTGATAAATAGTTCATATAAATTATTTCAAATGGAATATTTAGAATTTAGATATAACATTGGAACATATACCTTTTAATTTGATGAATAAAATTAGATATTCATTATGGTTTACTGACGTGAAGTATCTAATTTTAATCTATTAAATTAAAGTATTAAAATAAATAACCAAAATAGTTATACCTAAATTTTTATCGAACTAATTAATTAAGCAAATTAAGTAAATACATCAGGTTTTTCCCCGTGCATCTAGCAACAAATCCAACTTTGTTTCTCTGTCCACTGACTTTTAGTTTAGTCATATATATATATATATATGTATGTATATATATATATATATGTATGTATATATATATATATATATATACATACATATATATATATATATATATATATATTTGCTCAGGGCATTAGCTCTTGGTATAATATGATATAGGGTGAATGACAGGCGGTTAGCTCTGAATTTTTTTTTAAAAAAAAGATGAAATATCAATTTAAACAATTATAAAAAAGAAATTTATATCATAATATAAGAGTTATATTTAATATTTAAATATTTATTTATCATTGGAACTCTTAAATTTGCAATTATCTAGATTAATATTTTTAATTTATTTTTTTAAAATTTTGTCAAGACCTAACTATTATTAATTTAATGTTTTTGGATCTAACTATCATTGTCGTTATAGTATAAAGTGATTTTCATGTCACTGATGCATATCAACACAACAAGTTGTACAAACTTGGAGAATGTTTTTTTTTTTTTTAAGTTACTAACAACAGTAGAAAAAAAGTTAGTCAATGACATAAATTGTGGAGATCAGCATTCAGGATATATATTGTCAACACTTTTATTTATATTTTATCTGGTCAAATATATTGTCAATGTTTAGTTGTTCTAAAGATAACAATATCTCTCTCACTCAAAAAGATTTTATATTTAAATTCAACGTTAACAGGTTTGTTCAAAGGTGTCTTCTCAGCCTAGGGAGAAATGCTAGGTTACTTCTAGAAGTTTCAATTAATATTATGTACACCCTGCAAAGAGGGCGTTTGGTCTAGTGGTATGATTCTCGCTTTGGGTGCGAGAGGTCCCGAGTTCGATTCTCGGAACGCCCCGTTGAATTGATTTTCTTTTTGCTGTTGTTGCCGCCAGTCGGTTTCCCAGAAATAATACTATACTTGCACCGAATAGTTTTAAACACTATCCATATCCAAATCCTATAGATTATACGTATCTTCTAATTCCACTGCTTTCTGCTCAAAGTTTACTTTGTCTGCGCAGCAGCGTGTCAAACTGAAAGTTGGCAAAAATGTTTATAACATGTTGTTCAACATTCCTTGGTTATAGTGTTATTTCACCAACTAGGTAGCGGAGGGAGTACAATATAATGTTGCTTTCAGCTTTGCCTTTGTGTTCGTTTCTTCTCTGCGTGCACTGTAGCTATATATGGTCAGAGACAACGCGTTAATCCCGTTAGAGACAAGAGCTTTTGAAAGAAATTAAAATGGTACCAGATAACTAGTGCGTTTTCTTTTTATAAGAGAACTATCAATATCTTCCTCGAAGTTACAACAAGATCCTAAACCTTTCAAATATAGTGTTACACACACAAACACGAATATATAAAACCAAAAGTAACGCACCAAGGTAGCCCTCCATTTGGGACCCTGTAGCCTCTCGTTCACACACCCTTTAAATATTCGTGTGAGGTCAAAAGAAGCCCAAAAGACCACCTTAACAGAAATAAACCGATAAACAATAATGTGTGCGCGCGCGCGTGTGCGCGAGTCCCCTTCCTCCATAAGTGGCATATGCCTAAATATATATTAATCTCGTAGAGGAAAATGATTGATTAGATCCATGAATCCCCCAGAGGCAGATGAACCAATGTTCACTGTCTGATATCTTAATAAAAACATAACAGAGACAGAACAATAAAAAATAATATGTACTCGTTATGCTTTCATTAATTAACCCGACTGGTAAATCGAAACTGTACTAAGAGTCTAGAATTTTAGATCAAAGGGTTTGTTGTGGAGGGTCCATATCCATTGATCATATTCATGCCAGTCCATGAACCCAGACTATTGATATACCCAAAAGGCTCCTTCCCAGCATCAGAACAACCTTGGTCTTGCCATTCAAGAGACAACAGCTTAGGGTTTGGCTTCACATCATGAATCGCACCATCCTCATTGCCATGGTAAAAAGAGTCCATTGTGCTATAAGTCCCGCCATTAATGTTATAGCCATCAAAGTAACGCATATTTCCTCCAAAACCCTGGAAATTCTGTGCCAATAACCCATTGTGGCTATAATTTATCTGATCTGAAACCCCAGCATCGCCAAAATTTCCCATAACATTGTTTATCCCTCCAAACTTAGTTTCCATGAGCCTCGAATTCTCCACCATCAGTCCCACTGAGTGGGGAAAATGCATTGCATGATGATCTGGGAAATTAGAAGCTGTGAGATGAAGATCTTTGGGTTCTGACTGTACTGGGTGAACGACGTCGTTGGACTTCTTGGACGAGACTTTCTTGTTCTTTCTGCAACCGCCACCTACTGGGATGTTTCTCAATGTGCCTCCTTTGGTCCAGTACCTCCTGCAAGTTTTGCAGAAGTACCTCGGCTGAGAGAGACTGTAGTTGTTGTAGTAGCAGAACTTGGTGTTTGTGGACTCACACCTCGGACACTTCAAAGCTTGGTCCGTTGGGGCTGGCCTTACCCTCCTCTCCATTAATGGTGGAGAATAAGATGAAGAATCCATTGCTCCAGATTCCTCTTGAACAGCTCCCTGAAACATGTACCCTCCTCTCCATTTAATATAGAAATGCTCAAATCACGTAAAATGATCAGAAGCAAATATATTCATGAAACGACATTACACACCTGAAGCCATTGGTCCGAAGACTCCATGCAGACGTGCTCTTGCAGAGGAGAAAAATCCATTCACACTTTCACAGCAACACCCGACTGATCTGATAAGATAGATAATATATATATGTATCAGATTTCGCTGAACCCTTCTGTTTCGAACCTATGCTCAAATCACGTAATGCGAAGGATGAGAAGCGGTTTGTGTGTGTTAGTTAGGGAGGGGCAGTGAATAAGAAGGCAGAGAAAGGTGTCGTGTCGGTGACATGAATGGTGGGACACGCATATTTGTGTCTGGCGCAGAGTGAGCCCACTGGATTAGATGGCTCATGACGAAAGCGACGGTGAGATGTGGGGGATGGTCAGCGTGGAAGAATGAGAAGCGTTGGATGGGAGATGAGGTGTGGCGGCAACACACGTCACAATGTTGTTTTGTCGTGGAGTGAGAGAAGCTGAGGGAATATTTGGGTTCCTCCATAAAAGAAATCTTACCCTAAAGCACGCTTCTTGAGGGGCCCACTCATCCTCCTCCCTCAAGCAAGGGATTTATTCTCTCACACGCCCCTCACGTGCCTCTATTTTTTGTTCAGTAATTTTGAAGTAATTTATTTTTGCTTTCAATTATTTTTTGGATCAAAATTTTCAAATCCAATCATGATGGTGCTAGTGACCCACACCCACGTCCTCATGGTCATCTCCCATCCTGCAATACTTTTTCAAGAATTTCTTTGTACATATATCCATCATGTATTGATATCTTTAATCTAAATTTGATTGGCAACTAGTAAACGTAGTATCTCTTTCGGAGGATGTCTCTCACTAAAAATTTAATCACTAATGCAAATTTAGGGCTCAATCCCAACACCTCTGGTTAAGAAGATCAACTCCTTACTAGTTACATTAATCCAAGATTTTGATACGGTTGTTTTGTATTTCTTCTTTCATTAAAATAATTTATGCATGCCCTACCTTCGTCTCTCGACCTTTCAAGAAGAGTCTGTGAAAAAGATTGAACTTAGATACAATTATTTACGTTATCATGATTAACTATGTATATTTGAATTTTCTTGGATGCTGGTGTCAGAAGGAGTTGAAACTTAAAACCATATGTAGCTTTGCTGAATAAATTCAAACTTTGGAACCTAGCAGCTATGTGCTTATACTCGAAAGGCGATGGGAGGGAATAAGCTGAAAAGCTTTCATCAGAAGAGTGACACCTTAAAGCGCAGCGAGAGGAGAGGGTGCTTTATATCCACTCAGAAGAGAGAACATGTGGGAGAGATACTTGGCGTGACCATCACACTAATTCACTCAAAGTACGTAGAAACATTTTTATAGAGAGATCATTATTAAACGTATATATGACCTTCGATTAATTACGAGTTTGCCCTGTAATTGTTGACTAATTATTGCATAAAAAGAATGCCAGGAGAATAAAGTGATTGTGTGCCCACGTTTAACCCCACAGTACTGCGCGAGTTGTCTCCTCTTTCCTTTTGTTTCGTTGACGATCATTTAGTTTGAATAGTGCGCGCGCGCGCTCCCACAGATTGATGAATCATGAATTAATAATATTGTTTCAATCATAAATGTGGTACATATATCATTGAAATGTTTAGTTCTTGTGTTCCTGTCTTCCATCTTGGTCTTTGCATGCTTGCTTTAATTTTGTTGCGTAATGAGCCTTATTGCCGGTTGGTGAAGGGTCGTTATTCACGTAAGGATCAAACAGATATATCGAGATTCATCCCTGGGAACTAACTAGATAACTGTTGATTTGTTCTTTACGTACGTTAAGGTAATCATGTTTTTAGGGGGGAAATTGGCACTGCAGAGGAATAAAATTAATCAGTGTTAATGATTGTGTAAGCGTATTTGGAGCCTTTTATGGGAAATAAATATATAATTCCTTTTCAGAAGAAGATTAAAGATTTTATTTATCGTCTTGCAGATGCATAGGATTCTGTGCCATGGCGTATTATCAATTATCATGTAAATATATGAAGAAAGGCATTCAGATAAATTAGACAGAACCTTGTTGATAGAGATTTGAAAACTGCAATAGGAGCAACCTTGAATCTCACGCTTAGGATCTTAATTACTTTCTCCAATCGAGCTACTTTGTTTTCTGCTTTTGTTGTTTCTTTCTTTTATCAAAACTAATCGATCAAAGCTCAGAAAAGGCTGAATACGTAGCACGAGGGATTGTGAAGCAGGAAAACGTTGAAGGTGTCTTTTTTCTCATTCTCTAAAAATTGTAAAATCTTTTAACCCTATTAGATTGATGTTTTTTATTCTGAAAGTATCTTCCGGGGAGTAATTGATATCATAAAAGAAATTGTAAAGAAACATAACGTAAATTTTTAAAATCACTATAACATTGTCCAATTATAAAAGAGATCTAAATTTTTTTCATATAAAAAAGTTTAATTGAGTTACATTCGAGATTTTTTAGAATCAGAACATGCTTCCAAATACATAAATATTTATAAAAGCAAGTATAGATCACTTATCAATAAGATCCTCATATCAATAGCAAGATTTAAACTTGTAATATTATGAATTATAAATCAAATTCTTATCAACTGGACTAACTTTTATTGACTATAGATATCCAATGTTAATTATTAATACTAATTGAGAGGCTTTTTTAGTTGCTCAATGTTGGGTGTTTTTTTAAATAAAAATGCAGCTCCAGATTACATTATTCAACTAGAAATAACACGAGATCGAGAAAATCTCCTTACATCTCAATACAGTCATACAACCATTGCAAAATTAAAGCTTCCTAAGAGGATCTCATATCATGCTACAATTAGAATTCTGTGTAATATACAGCCAATGTTTCTTCCCAATATATTCCCAAATGAGCAATTAATAATTAGTATCATATAGATGGCTTGCAAAAAAAATTTTTTTTTTTTTAAGAATAAAAAGTCTCTCATCAACACCCAATGTCGGTCTATGCATGTTAAACTTAGACAAACATACAACAGGTTTTTTTTTTCTTTTTTTTACTCACTCTTCAAAACATATGTTAACATTTTAATTGTTGAAAATTAAGGAAAAAACTTACTTTTTGGTCTCTAGAGTTGTAATTAAATTTGGTTAAGATGCTTGTAATTTTTATTAAAAAATTAATTCTTAAAATTATGATCGGCTTTAATCAAGATCCCTAACGATAATGCGTTGGTGATGTAGCAATGATATTTAGTATAATGCTAAATACTAAGACCAAAGTTGACTACAATCTCATAGAACTTAATGAAAAATTACATAAATCTCAACATATAAGTTAACTATAATTTCGGGGACTAGAAACTGTTTTTCCAAGATTAAAAGCACTTGAATTTCAAAATTTTTAATAAAAATTGATATCAGTTAGGCTTGATATATCGCTAGTTCGCTACTTACAGTCTCACACACTCAAGCCGTACATGGAATGAATCTATATAAAAGACAACACATAAATTAACTACCCTGGCCATACGTACATAATGCTACAATTGATGAAAACTACTATATATATATGATGTGAGAGAGAGAGAGAGAGAGAGAGAGAGAGAGAGAGAGAGAGAGGAACTATATATATATAGTCTTCATAGAAGAGTCATGGTTATTTAACATAAATGCAAAAAAGACTTTAAAGTTTAAACTGAGCTATCCTCGTTTAAACCTAACAACACTGGAATTTAATTTGATAAAATTATTTAAAAAACAAAGAGGAAAAAAGGAAGATGTTAGATGGCATGAATAAGATACGAGAATAGCTGAAGGCGCATGCCCGACAATGCCACCGGTGACTGCGGCGCGTGCAAACCAAGTGGGCTCTGTACAATACTACAATTCTCATGACCTCTATCAGCCCACGCTTGTGATTTGCTTGATTTTTTTTTTTTAAATTATGTCATCTTTATTTTTATTTTTTATTTTTAACTTAAAGGGAGTTCCACTAGCTGCCACTATCTCTTTATGCTAAGAAAGAGCAAGTCGAAGAGAGAAAATTGGTTAATTTCACATAGAATGAAACTTATTATTATATCTTATAATTTATATAATGTGCTCGCTATATTACTAAATGAAATTAAAATATAATTTTAATAATAATAATTTATAATTATTTTATTCAATTTTAAAATTCATTTTAAAATTATTTTTTATACAATGAATTGAAAAATTTTAAAATTATAAAATCGAAGACATATAACATTACATTAAGAGGCATCACATGTGGGTAAAGTTTTCTCTACAATTTTCTCTCCTTATTTAAGCGAGAGAAATATAGAGCTGGTTTGATTTCTATTTTTAATTTTTTTTTGTTTTAAAAATAAAAAATAAAAAAAATTTGTTTGGGTAAGTGTTTTGGATTTAAATGTTTTTAAAATTGTTCTTACTTTAAAAAATGAAAAAATCTTCAAATATTTTTCATATTGTTGTAAATTATTTTCAGTTATAGTCAACTAATTATCATAAGCCATTAACATTAATTACTTGCATAATTCTGAAATTATTTTGCAAATTTTGCAAATTTAAGAAAATTTTAATTCTATATCAAAGCTTAAAATAAAAATAAAGGTTATATAGTTGAAGTAATTAATCAAAGCTTAATTCTATTTCAAAGCTTAAAATAAAAATAGTTCATATAAGTTTCAAATTGCTCTAAGCACAAAATCGATTGAATTAACCACTTTTCTTGACTTTGATTTTTGTCTCCTGTCATTCACCGGCCCGCTGCCTGATCCCCCCCCCCCCCCCCCCAAAAAAAAAAAAAACATATGATCATTGTTTCTTGTACTTCGCTGACAGAAGCAGACCCTTTCAGAATAAGACATGATTATATATAGCGGCTGGACTTAGACCACGCTTAATTGTTTTTTGTAATTAAACTTGACCCTTCTTAAAATTCAAACGAGTACTGCATTTGAGAACCATACACGTGTAACATGTGGGCGCAATAATGGGGTTGGTTCTATATATCGCTTTTTATTTCAGACAACACACACATGATGCAAGAAGCCGTTAGCCATATGTTCTCCATCAAAAGGGTAGAGATTATTTTTCACGATCAAGAACACGTCATTTGACATCTAATTATTATTTAATCTCTTTATAGACATATATATGTTGTGAATTTTTAATTTAGTTATATATCGCACACTTTATTAAAATAATAACTAAAATTAATCATAAATATAATAAAGGATTAATTTAG